TCAGACCAGCTGATTCTTCAGGCCCCTCCTTACGCAGTATTCGAAAGGGACCTGCTGGTTCTCAAATGCCGTGGGCGGAAAGACAGAAGCATGTCTAAGCTCAGGTATTATAAAGATGGAGCAGGCATTACATCGCGCAGTGTAAATTCAGAGCTGTCTATTCCAGAAGCAAGTACAAGTGACAGTGGCACATATCAATGCAAAGGACAAATGGACAGTGCTGACTTTCCTTCCGTAATCACGTCTTCTGAGGTGCCCATTTTTGTCCAAGGTAAGGGACTGTTGTGAGGGACATGTTGGGACAGAGATGGGTCATTCACAGCTCAGTTCAGGAGGCCACTGACTCCCTGCAAGAGAAATGTTTGCTTTAGTCTGGATGGCATCAGGGGTGCCATAATTCACCTAAGTGCCTTTTGTTTAATTCCATCCTGCTGCTGGTCTCATGGGGGTGCAACCAGAGCTAGAGCTGATGTCAGTGTTGGATGCACAGAGCTCGGTGTGGTAATAAAGGGACTCCATTTAGACTGCAGCAACTCGGATCTTTATTTAAGTGCCATGTGCTCGGTGCTGCTGCTTGAAGACAGGAGGTGCAGTGTGTGCTCAGAGCTGTTGTGTAGTTCCCCAAGCATATGAAGTGTCTTGAAAGTTTCCTGATGTCACCCTCCACATCATCCCTGCAGCAATTCCTGTTCCCATTACCGTTGCCCGAACAGCTGTATTTCAGACATGGTCAGGGCTGAGCCATAGAAGGAAAGACAAGAATTCCCCTCTATATAAAGCATGTTTATTCAGAGTAACAGTGCATTAACAAGCAGTGGGTTAGTGACCTGAACTAGCAGATGTCTTATTCTAAGGATGTTCATCAGATGGCCCTTAGGCGCCACATTCAAATTTACACGTGCTCCAGGGGGGTGGTGCACGCATGGGGCGGGGGCTTTAATTAGAGCAGCTCCAAAGGTTGCTCTAATTAAAGCACTTTAGCATCTTGTGTATCAGCATCTCCACACTTCAAAATGGTGTTCAATGAATCATAGAAAGTTAGGGTTGAAAGGGACCTCAGGATATCATCTAGTTCAAACCCCTGCTCAAAGCAGGCTAGCCCCAACTAGATCATTGCAGCCAAAGTTTTGTCTAGCCAGGTTTTGAAAACCCCCGAGGATGGGGGTTTTCAAAACCACCTCTCTGGGTAACCTGTTCCAGTGTTTTACTGCCCTCCTAGTGAGAAAATTTTTCCTAACATCAAACTTAAACTTCCCTTGCTGCAACTTGAGCCCATTGCTCTTTGTTCTGTTGTCTGCCCCTGCTGAGCACAGGCCAGCCCAGCTCCATCCTCTTTTGAAACCTCCTTCAGGTAGTTGAAGGCTTGTATTAAGTCTCCTCAGTCTCCCTTTCTCTGGACTAAATATACGCAGATCCCCCAGTCTTTCCTCACAAGTCATGTTCCCCAGCACCCTCACCATTTTTGTTGCCCTCCACTGAACTCTCTCCAATTTGTCCATATCTTTTTTGTAGTGGGGCACCCAAAACTGAACACAAGACTCCAGATGTGTCCTCACATAGAGGGGAAGAATCACTTCCCTTGACCTACTGGCAACACACTTACCAATGCAGCCCAGGATGCCGTTCACCTTCTTGGCAACATGGGCATCCTGCTGGCTCACATGCAGCTTCTTGTCTGTCCACTGTCACCCCCAGGTCCTTTTCTGCAGAGCCACTGCCCAGCCCGTCAACCCCCAGCCTGCACCGGTGCATGGGATTGTTCTGTCCTAAGTGCAGGACTTTGCACTTGTCCTTGTTGAACCTCATGAGATTTCTTTTGGCCCAATCCTCCAATTTGTCTAGGTCACTCTGAATCCTAGCCCTACCCTCCAACATATCTACTCCTCCCCTCAGCTTGGTGTCATCTGCAAACTTGCTGAGTGTCCGCTCTGTGCCATCTTCCAGGTCATTGATGAAGATATTGAACAAAACTGGCCCCAGGACTGACCCTGGGGCCCTCCACTTGGTACCAGCTGCCAACTAGACATCAAGCCATTGATTACTACTCTCTGAGTCCGATGCTCCAGCCAATTTTCTACCCAGCTTACAGTCCATTCATCCAGCCCAGACTTCCTTCGCTTGCCTGGGAGAATGTTGTGGGAGACCATATCAAAAGCCTTTCTAAAATCAAGGTGCACTGCATCCACTGGTCTCCCCACATCCACAGAGCCAGTCACCTCATCATAAAAGGCAATCAGGTTGGTCAGGCATGACTTGCCCCTGGTGAATCCATGCTGACCTGGTGATCCAGGTTCCTGATCACCTTTTTCTCTTCCAAGTGCTTGCAAATGGATTCTTTGAGGATCTGCTCCATGATTTCTCCAGGGACTGAGGTGAGGCTGACTGGTCTGTAGTTCCCTGGATCCTCCTTTTTCCCTTTCTTAAATATGGGCACTATATTTGCCCTTTCCCAATCATCTGGGACCTCTCCTGATCACCCTCATTTTTAAAAAATGACAGCCAGCTCTGCAGTCACATCAGCTAACTCCCTCAGCACCCTCGGGAGCATCCCATCCAGCCCCATGGACTGGTACACATCCAGCTTTTCTAAATAGTCCCTAACCTGTTCCTTCACCACTGGGGGCTGCTCGCCTCCTCCCCAAACTGTGCTGCCCAGTGCAGTAGCCTGAGAGCTGCCCTTGCCTGTGAAGATGGAGGCAAAAAAGGCATTGAACACTTCAGCCTTTTCCACATCCTCTGTCACAAGGTTACCTCCTCCATTTGGTAAGGGACCCACACTTTCCCTGATCCTCCCCTTGCTACTGACATACTTGTAGAAATCCTTCTTGTTGCCCTTCACATCCCTTGCTTGCTGCAACTCCAATAGCGCTTTGGCCTTCCTGACTTCATCCCTGCATGCCCGAGCAATGCTTATGGTCTTCCCTAGTTATTTTGGCAAGTTTCCACTTTTTATAAGCTTCTGTTTTGTGATTCAGTGTACTGAAGAGCATGGACACCTTGTGCATCCCGAGGCTGGGGGGAGCACGGCGACTGCTTGCAGGCGGCGGCAACAGTGAGCAGGGACCTCCCGCAGGCGGCCACAGCAGTCTCAGCAGTGGGGGGCGGCAAGCACCAAGTGGTGATTGGTGACCGCCCGCAGACGCCTCCGGCAGCATCGGTGGTGAGGGGCAGGGGGGCAAGCAGTGACTGTCTGCAGTCGCTACTGGTAGCGTTGGCAGCAGCCAATCTTTGGGGGTGCACACGCACCCGCATGCACCCCTTATGCATCGCCAATGCTGAAGAGTTCCCTGCTAAGCCAAGCTGTTCTCCTGCCATATTTGCTCGTTGAGATGGTTTGTTCCTGCGCCCTCAGTAAGGTGACACTGAAGTACAGCCAGCTCTCCTGCACTCCTCTCCCCCTCCGTCTGGCTTCCCAGGGAAGCTTTAATTCAAGCGCTCCCGCCACCATTTTGAAGTGTGGGGATGCTGATACACAAGATGTGGGAGGCTGCTGGGGCGCGGTAATCATTACGCTCCAGCAGATTTGATTAATTGAGCAGTCGGAGCACCCTTCATGCTCATGTACAGGCACCCCATGGGACAGCATGTCATTATGATGGTCTTGAAGGGATCCAACCATGCTCTCTACACCCTTACCTCTTATTAGTTGAGGCATAAATGTTCTTTAATATAATTTCTAGTGGTTTAAACCCTTACTTTCACTCACTCCCACTTATGCTTCACTCCCACTCATAGAACAAATGTTGCATCTATTTCCACCTGGCAATAGGGTTAAAACCATGAGCTTAGCCTTAATCATCAATCACCCGCTTTCACCTACTCAGGTTTTGCCCTATGATGGAAAGGTAAAATCAGAGTCAGGCCCCTTATGTCCAGTTGCTGGAGCAGGAACCTCACAGGCCTGGAGGCAGAGGCAGGCAAAGAAAATGGGGCGGACAATAGCATGGTAACAACAGAAGGAGTGACCCTCCCACCCTCCCACCTTCCCATCACAAGGGCCTCCTGCAGAAGAGTGCACAGTAAAATTGTGAGGTTCCTTATGTGGGGACGTGGGCCGACAGGTAAGTATTGGAGCCGGCCCTGGAACATTGCCCTCTCCTCACAACAGCAACCCAGCCCCACACCCAGCCCCAGCCCCACACGTCACACGGAGCCGACGAGGGGGCAGAGCTGCCTGGCGGCTCTGGTATGCTCTGCCCTTCCAGCAGCCAGAGCCCTGCCTCCCCTTGCCCCGGCTTAGTTGGACATCCACAAGAGCAACACATTTCACTTTGAGTACAGAGGCTCGCTGTGCTGTTCGGCGGCTTGTGGAGCAGAGGTTTGCAATGAGGGGAGAGACTCCCTTGACTCCTGGGACTCTCCTGAGCCTGCCCATGGACTCTGAGACTGAACGCTGTGGGGTGACCCAGTCTGGTGTCTTTCTAGAGCTGTTTTCAACACCCGAGCTGAGGGTGGCCGGCTCAGCTGAAGCCATAGAAGGAAACCCACTGACCCTGCAGTGTGTCACGCAGCCCAACCCCCTGAAATCAGGCCTACAGCTTCAGTACTCCTTCTACAAGAACAGCACGATCCTGAGAGAGCCAACGAGCTCCCCTGAGTACCCGATCCCAGACGCGGGGCTGGCGGACTCGGGACCCTACTCCTGTGTGGTGCAGGCGGTGACCTCAAGTGATGAGAAATGGAGCCTGAAGCTAGACGTCGAGGTTAAACGTGAGTGTCTGATGGGGATTGTGGGGCAGGGTCTGAGGATTTCCCCAATACCTGACATGGGAAGAAAGGCCCAAGGGATCTGTGCTGAGCTCTGAGCTCATGAGATCCTGCTGAGCTGGTGTAATTGTGGTGACCATAGGTTGAGCATGTTTGTGAATCTGGACCATTCTTGTTATGGTAAAACCTTGGCAAGGAACATGTGTCCAGTCAAGGCTTGGAGGCGCCAGAGCAAGGGGACAGGTCAAAGGATCACGTTTCATGAACTTGGTGTTGTAGGGGGAGGGAATAGGCAGAGCAGGACGGGCAGGGACATGGCCCAGTCTTGCCTCTATTGGACTTTGTTTTAAAATTTCATCACAAATGTTTTTGCTTGAGAATTGTCACAAAAAATCTGAAACAAAATACAAAAAATATCTGTTTTCTTCTAATGTTTCTATGAACACAATAAGTATCACTATCGTGGCCAGCATTCGGGCAGAGCTGGTGCTGCAGAAAGCAGCAGGGTTCAGGAGTGGTCACTCCAGTGCCATGAAACTTTAGAGGTGCTCACAGGTTGGATGGTTTAGCAAAACCTTGGTGTAGCGCCCACCCAGCCGAGATCCCAGCCAGGGGAAGCGCATGTCTGAGAGGAAGGCAGCAAGGTGGCAGGACATGACTGCCAAGCTGCTGAGCCGTGTGAGCCCTGCCTGCCCAGCAGGTGCAGAGTGGCCCTTTCCATGAGGAGGGTGCTCACAGTGGGGCTCTGCCTCCTACGTGGGGTGCAGGGCCAAGGCTGGTCCCATGCCCTGGAGCACAGACGTATCTGCTGTTGTGCCCCCTGCCCCCAGCCCCACTGCCTGCTGTGCTGGTCCACCTGGGCTCTGCCCCGTGGTGCTGGGGGCACAGGACCATCATTCAGGGGTGTCTCCAGGAGACCCCCCACCTCCCATAACTGACCTCCACCCAAGGCCCCGTGGTGCTGTGGGTCAGGCCCTGCATTCTGCCGTGTCCCTCTGACCTGCACATGGGACGTGTAGCCCTGACTGGGGCAGACAGGCTGAGCCCCCTGGACGTCCCTGCACCCGGGGCTGGGTCAGTGCAGCGGGTCCCACTCCCCTCTTGGTCTCCCCGCAGGAGTCCCCGTCTCCGGAGTCACCCTGAGGGTGCAGCCCCACCATGGGCAGGTGGTGGCAGGGGAGCGGCTGATGCTGAGCTGCTCCGTGGCTGCGGGCATGGGGCCTCTCGCCTTCTCCTGGCACAGGGAGGGCTCTGGCCTGGCTCTGAGGACAGAGACTCTGCGCTCACAGAGGATGGACTACGAGATCCCTGCTGCCAAGGAGAGTGATGCCGGGGAGTATTACTGCGCTGCCTCCAATGGCCACGTCCCGGTCCTGAGCCCACAGGTGACGGTCACAATGAGGGGTGAGTGAATCCCAGCTGACGGGGGGCCCGGGGCCATGTTCCTTCCCTGGAGGGGACATGAAGAGCTCCCGGCAGCCCCGGGCCCCGTGGGGTGGGTGCTGGTGGATAACGGTGCTGGGGCCCAGGCTGCTGGGAGGGGAGGCGGGAGGCTGCTCTGCGCAGGCAGTGCCATGAGGGAGGTGGCTGCAGCAGCAAGGGCCGGGGGCAGTGGGGCATCCCTGCAGGGTGTGGAGGGGCAGCACCCGCTTGTCACTGCTCTGGTACCACGTGGGTTGCTGGCAGCTAGTTCTGTGGCCATATTCTCACCCCATTGAAACCTTTCATCTTTCTGGGGACGTTTTTAATTAGAACAAATTGAAAAATGCCTTTGGGAAAAATCCCAGTTTGTGCTGGGCTTGGTCCTTCTCTCACTTCTCTATTTGTCCGTTGCAGAAGCAAAAGAGCAAAGTGAGACAGAGTTGAAAACAACGGGGGCTGAACTCAGCGGCTCAGCAGGCTCCTGCCAGCTGCTGGGTGCTGTGAGCGCCAGGAGCTCCTGAGTGTGTTTCCTTTGTGTGCCCAGGGGACAGGACGGCCCAGCTGGTTTTGGGTGTGACTCTCGGTGTCCTGTGCCTGGTCGGTGCTGCTGCAGCTGCCGTGTTGTATGCCAGGCACCGGCAGAAAGCGGGTGAGAGTCTCCCTTGACCCTGCTCCCTCTGTGCAGATCTTGCAGTGCAAGGAGCTCTGAAATTCCTGGGCCTGGCTGCTCATGTTTGAGGATCACACCCGTGTGAGCACTTACGAGCCAAGCGAGCATGAAACAGCTACAGACAGGGGTGATTCAAACTCCCCCAAGTGCCGATGGCCAGTTCAGACGCTTGTTCTCTCTGCTGTGCTGCAGCCTCAGTTGGTCTCCTACCAGCCGTGTGGGAACACCCAGGTGCAGGGATCTCGCGGGCCCTAGAGTCCCCCTGCTCTTTGTCCATGAGCTGCTCTGGAGGCTGGCACTGGAGATAAGCAGTTGAGATCGGTGGTTTGGAGCCTGATGCTAGGTTCAGGCCTGGCAGGACTGGGAGCACCTCTTCCTCTCTCACCCCAGCTGGCTCCCCCAGCCCCTGTCCTTCATGCTCACACCCTGTTGAGATCAAGTCTAATGCCCCTTTTCTCATTTGCTTTGCAGATCAGAGATTTTTCATGGTCAGGATGAGGTGAGTGCAGGCCAGGGAGCAGGCAAGCTGTTGGGGGTGGGAGGAATGAGGGGTGAGTTCAAGATTTTCTGGTATAAAGGAGATGGGTTACTGTGTGCTCAGTGCCCAGGTGAGTGCTTGGGTTGCCAGGGCTCTCGGCTCTCCTGTTACTGCCCCACTGTGTTGTGATGGACTGGAGCCAGGCCCTGCTGGTACAATGCCTAAGGCTCTGGGCTCAACTCCCCAACACCTTGCACCTTGTGCACTGTAGGGGCAAGACCCCCCAGTCAGAGCAGAGCCCCTCAGCATTGGTGCAAGAAGGGACACAAGGAGTCAGCAGGGACCAGCCAGATCTTGGCTCCTTGTCCTTCCTCAGGGATGCTGAGCCATGATGATCCTCCACCCAACACTGGTGGCAGGGCAGGGCAGGGCAGGGCAGGGCAGGCCCTGGGAAAGGCTCTGCAGGCTGAGCTCTGCCCACAGGTGCTAGGACAGCCCTGCACACTGCAGGCAGCTGCCACCATTCTCTGCAGCATCCCTGGCCGGCGGGGGGGGGCACCATGTGGGCATGGAGATTATGTTGGGGGCCTGAACATTGGGTGTGTGTGTGGCTGCTGACAGCACCCCCATGCTGCTGCCTCTGTGACCTGTTCCTTTGGCTGAGGGACAGTGACAAGGTGTGAATCTAACATTTCTGACCAGTGGAGAAGCCCCAGGAAACTGTGGAGCAACCCCTGCCTCCTAGCCTGGAAAGTGCAGGGAGGCTCAGAGCCTGCCCCATGCAAAACATGGCACTTCTGTCATGTTTAAGAGTGCTGTAACTTTATAGTGCTCTAAAAGGTGCTCTAAATGCCAGTGCAGTAGAACGTGCATGGAGTACTTCTGTACACACCCTAACAGTGTTGGGCTATCCCAGCAGTTGCCGAAGCCCAGGGAACCCTGTTCCCAAGGAGAGGCTAAGCAGGGATCCCAGCCAGTGCTGGCGATAAAGACTGCAGCAGGACTCTACTGAGGATGCTGCTGGGCAGAGGTGCCATAGTGCAGGGGCATCCCAGGGTTTTCCTGTCTGGTCACTGGTAGCAGCAGCTGCAGGTTGTTCTTTCAGGGGCGCACCTGAGCCCAGGTGCCAAGAAGAGTCACATTATTAGAGTAAGGGCAGGGCTGAGACCCAGACCCACAGACCCTGCTTCTTCCCTCCATGAGAACTGCCAGGGCTTGATTTTCACTAGTATTGAGGCTGGTTCACAGGCCCCAACTTGAGCTGCAGAGGCGACAGAAGTGTGAATGAGAATCTAGCTCTCAGCCTGTCTGTCTGCTCGTCTGTCTGTCTCTCCGGTGCCCTGCTGCAGCGTGTGTCTGTGCCATTCCCCTGCACTCGCTCTATCTTCTCCACAGGAGCAGTCCAGAGCCAGCGCAGCAGGACCCCCTCACCCAAAGTCTGCCTTCCCTGGCTGCTACGGAGCCCGATGAACCAGAGCCACCATACAAAAATAGTAAGGCCCTTGTGCATGGGGAGGCTGAGCCAAGCTGCCAGTGCTAGGCATAGGCGCCATCTCCGTGGGTACTTCAGGGCTCAAGCACCCACTGAAAAAAATTATCAGGTGCTCAGCATCTGCAGAAACACTTGCAGACATTAAAAAAAAAGTGCTTTAAGGGAAGCAATAGTGTATGACTTCAACCCAGCTCTGCAGCATCTGTAAAGATCAGGCGCTTCAGCGGGACATTTTGCCACTTTTAGTTAAAGCTGACTCAATCACCTATTAGATAAGAGTGCCAAAAAAGGCCCACTAAATTGCCTGATCTTTACAGACGCTGCAGAACTGGGTTGAAGTAACACACTGCCTCCTCCGGTCATGCACGGGGCTTGGCATGGGAACCAAGTTAAAAGTAAAGTGCCGTGGTTTTTTGTTGTTATTTTTTTTATATCTATAAGCACCCACCAACAAAAAGAAAGTCGGCGCTGGGTGCTGGTGACCAGGGTGGTGGGAGCTGCCTGAGGCCAGGCTGTTATAGGGATGTTGTCCTGCTCTGGTCATGGGACAGATGGGCTTTGGCACTTGCTGGGAGCTGGGGCCTTCCCAGCCTCCTCTGGACCAGAGCTGGGCTTTCTACATCCTCCATCCTGGCCCCATCTTCACCCCAGACCCCTTTCCCATCCAGCTGGGATCAGCCAAGGATCAGTCATTCAGCTAGTTTAGGGGCAGGGTGCCATGGTCCCCAGGCCAAGAACCACGCACCAGGTCAGCGTCACTGGGTCACTGGGTACCGAGCCAGCTGCCCTCACCCTACTTCAGCACAGGTAGGTACATCCGCACCAACTGGGAAGAGTCAACTTGTGGACCTGGCACCTCCACGCAGGCCTGTCCTGGACTGCCTCCATGATGATGCCCACCAAGCACTTCCCCTGTGATTGCCAGCTTGGCTCCTGGAAGCAGGGCATTCTGGGAGATGCCCAAAGGCTGGCGGTGCCATGGTAGAGCACCTGTTGGCTTGCACCTGAGCCTGGAGCCAGCACAGACAGAATCATCCCAGCTGCTCAGAGCTCAGCCCTGCTGAAGCTCAGTTGACCCCAGATGGCCTTGGCCAGCCTGCTGCTGCCTGGGGCTCTGTGCTGGAGCTGCCCGGGTGGCACTGCAGCGCTAGGGAGCAATGGGTGCTCAGCACAGACAGTGTCTCTGGGATCAGCAAAGATTAAATGAGACATGGTTTTTCCTTACAGTGTCCCCCCAGGAGCAGGGCAGTGGAGACGTGGTCTATTCTGTTATCAGCATTGAGGAAGGAGGCGGGGGTGAGTGGCACAGAGCTGTGTCCTGCTGGAGAGGCAGGAGGGGTTTAACACAGTGGGTGAGGGGACGCACGGGCACAGCTGGGTTTTCAGGGGAGGGGTTTGGCTCCCCTGGTCTGTGACTTTCTCGGCCAAAATTGCCAGAAGCCGCTGGCAGCTCCAGAGGTAGCAGGGAGGCAGCAGGCTGCTGGGGACACGCGCTCCTTTGGGGCGAGCTCCCTCGGCACACAGCCCCGGGTCCACGTGAGCTCCACCAGGAGAGGCAGGGCGCATCTCGCCCCCATGCTCACTTCCCTCCCAGCACCCAGATGCAGCCACTGCTGGGTGGACGGCTGTGTGAACAGCGCTGCAGACCTCCCCGCTAGACAGACAGGATGTGGGGATACCCCATGGGCAGATCACCTAAGGGGACATATGTGGCCACCCGATTCTTTTTATTGACTAATTAAAACCATCTCCATTGCACTGATCAAACTCCATGTAAACAGGATGTTCTGATTGAAAGTCGATTTTTTCTGCTCCTCTGTGGCAGTGAATGTGGGTCTCCTTAGTTAGTGATTGCCTCCTTTGCTGACTGACCCCTCGTGCAAACAGTGAAGCTGACTGTGCAAAGTGCTGCTCCAGCAAACTCAAACACAGATTGCCAGTGAGATCTGAACCTGGGCTCTAGCCATCAAGCCTTCGGCTGGGGCAGCCGGAGGCAGTTAACTTCTCTGTTGAACAGACATTACAGGAAGACCGGCAGGGAAAAGCTAAAATGCTTTTTTTCACTAACATCTCGCAGCTCTTGCTGTGTCAGTCATGACTTGTAGTTCCAGTAGCTGAGATGTGTCGTACACAAGTCAGAGGTGCCCTACCCGACAGCAGGAAAGGCTGAGCTGGGGGAAGCCCCAAGGCTTGGGTTTTGGATGCTTTTCTGAGTCTCTTGGGGCTACAAACTGTGGCTGGAAATTGCCCGTGAGGCTTCTGGCTCTCCTGGCACCTGGCTCAGCCTGGAGCATTGTGGGGACAGTGTTTGTTTCGGTATTTTAACTCTGGGCACTTCTCCCCAGGTCAGAAGTGCAGAGGCACATGCGGGCATGGAAAGACTGGGAAATGACCAGCTTTCAGCCCCTCCAAAGCCTTGATTAGGATTCAATTCCAGGAATGGGCAGCAGGCTAATAGGGAGGCTCTGCCACATGGTGACCGAACCCCTGTTGGTGCTCAGCTTGGCAGGATACGGGTCCTGGGTGCAGACAGGGCTGGCACACAGGGCAGAAGAAAGGCCGGGGCTCCCAGACCCTCAGTGTTGGGTCTCAGGCATGTTGGGAAGCTGGAGCTGGTTGGGGAGGTGCTGGTTCCAGGGACCCAAAGTGTGCAGGTTAGTGCCCAAAACTCATCCCTTTGTGTCTCTTTTACAGGCAGGCACATGGAAACCCCCCTGAGGGAGAATGTAAGTGTGACCCCCCCAGCCCTGCTGCTCCCAGCCTGCTGCTCTCATGAGGCCTCTGTCCATCTCCATGCACCTCGCTCACTGCCCCTGCGCGCTCTCCAGCAGGGAAACCTTGTCACCTATGCTGTGCTCCACAGCCCCAAGCTCTCCCCGGATTTGTCAGCTGAAACAGGGGCCTCTGCAAGGGAAGGCCGGCCCACAAATGGCATTTATGAGAACGTGCCCCACCTGTAACCTGCATGGACCCCAGCACGGCCCCTCGGTGCCTGGAGCACCTGGGCTGACCAGCAACTCTTGGCTCCCCGCTTGGCCTGTAGCAGAGCGTGCAGGGCATGAGGCTGGGACCATGGGAGCCGCTGCCCAGCCCGGTGCTTCTGAGCCGTGAAGGGACGCGGTAGTGACTGGAGGCTGCAGCTCTGTATTGGGCAGCTGCTGCCGGCGCCAGGAACAAGGACCCAATGGCTGCGGCTGAGTCACTGAGAGGGGCAGCCGGCTGAGTGAGGGGTCCTGGCCTGGGGGAGCGGGGCCAGACAGCAGCCCTGATCTGCTGTAATCCTTGGGGTGGGGCCGTGACTCTCAGGATCCCACCCCAGAGGGTGCTGGCCTGGCTGTTGTGACCACGGGATATTCAATAAAGACTGAATTTGCTGCGGAAACTGTCTCTGAGGTTCCTTTGTTGAACAAGGAGGGGATTTGTACAGCCTGATCACTGGGTCCCTGCAGGCCTGTTTCCTGCAGCCCCTCGCCCTGCAGTGCACAGGCAGGACTGCAATCACCGTGGTCACTGCTACACCACAAATCAGACATCCTCATTAGCTCTCTTAGGCAACCTTGGGTCCCTGTGGACCTGTTTCCTGCAGCCCCTTGCCCTGCACGGGGCCTCTCGCCTTCTCCTGGCACCGGGAGGGCTCTGGCCTGGCTCTGAGGACAGAGACTTTGCGCTCACGGAGGATGGACTACGAGATCCCTGCTGCCACGGAGAGCGATGCCGGGGAGTATCACTGTGCTGCCTCCAACGGCAACGACCCAGTCCTGAGCCCATGGGTGACGGTCATAGTGTGGGGTGAGTGAGTCCCAGCTGATGGGGCCGGGGCCGTCTCCCTGCCTTGGTGTGGGGGGCGCGTGAGGAGCCCCAGGCCCCGTGGGGCGGGTGCTGGTGGGATAACCGTGCTGGCTGGCCCAGGCCTGCTGGGAGGGGAGGTCGGAGGATGCTCTGTGCAGGCAGCCCCACACAATCTAGAGAAATCCCACATTGGGCTTTTCTTGCCCCTCACCTCTCACTTGTCCCCGCCTCTTTCTTGCCCTGGGCAAGTAAGAAAGCACAAGAAGAAGGTGTGAGGAGCCATGCTGGAGTGTTGTGGGTGTGATTATCCAGGTGAGCAAGAAGCAAGATGTATTTGCCAGTCTCTTTTCTTAGGCCAACTTCTCAGTTGGGAGGGATGTTAGAGAAGTTTTGGGGCACAAAATGCCCTTCCTGAGTTCTCAAAAAGCAATACAAGCTGCCTCAGCTAAATAAAAGGCGGAAGAGATTTCATAGATTTCATAGACATTAGGGCTGGAAGGGACCTCGGAAGATCATCGAGTCCAGCCCCCTGCCCAAAGGGCAGGAAGTCAGCTGGGGTCATAGGATCCCAGCAAGATGAGCATCCAGTTTCATCTTGAAGGTGTTCAATGAAGGCGCTTGAACCACCTCCGGTGGCAGGCTGTTCCAGACCTTGGGGGCTCGGACAGTAAAGAAATTCTTCCTTATGTCCAGCCTGAAACGATCTTGAAGTAGTTTGTGACCATTCGACCTCGTCATCCCTTGGGGCGCTCTGGTGAACAAACGTTCCCCCAGATGCTGGTGGTCACCCCTGATAAACTTGTAGGTGGCCATCAGATCACCCCTGAGCCTACGCTTTTTCAGGCTAAAGAGCCCCAGGGCTCTCAGCCTGTCATCGCAGGGTCTGCTTCCCTGACCTCGGATCATGCGCGTGGCTCTTCTCTGGCTCTCTCAAGCTTCTCCACATCCTTTTTGAATTGTGGGGCCCAAAACTGGACACAGTACTCCAGCTGCGGCCTCACTAAGGCCGAGTACAGGGGGAGAATGACGTCCCGGGATTTG